GGGGGGGCGGCTTGTTTTACAACGTCGTTGCCAAGCGACGAAAACCCGACCCCGATGGCAAACACCAGGGGGGGGCGAGGGGGGCGGGGCGACATTTTTTTTTTTTCAATCCATGGTGTTGGGGAAGGAGGAGAAGGGAGGTACGCGTTTTTTTTTTTTTTTCCGATCCAAAGTGTTGAGCAAGGGAAAGGAAAGGGAGGGCAACGCTAGAGGGATTGGGGACAGGCAATGTAGGGTGTCTTTTGGTGTCTTTGGGTGCGTCCAGGGAGAGTAGGAAGGACAAGGAAAAGTGTGTGTGTGTGTGTGTGTGTGTGTTTTGCTCGCCCGTCCTCTTGGAAGCCCTGTGAAAGGAGAGGGAAGACACTGCACGAGATTCGTGGGGGGGGGGGGGGGCGTCGAGTGGTTCGCGGGTCGTGTTGCAGAGAGGAAGACCTTCCATCCGCAGGGGCGTGAGGCCTCTGCGTGTATGTGTGAGTGTTTTGTGTGTGTTTTTTATCTTGCCCGACCTGCAAGGGAGCCCGGTGGAAGGAGGGGCGAGAAAATGCTCAAGGGAGGGGGAAGCGTGGTTCAAGGATCGCCAAGGAGAGAAGCAGGGTACAGCGGTTTTCCATCCAAAGGGGAGTTGTGCTGGGTGCGCTCTCGTGAGGAGTGTGCATGGAAAAGCACAAGCAGCAAGCGCGCAGGAGAGGCTCGCCGGTTGCTGCGTTGGTGTCATCATCGAAGAGCGACGCGATTGCAGCTGGCTACCGCATATCACGTAAAGCGCGCATTTGTCAAGCGCGACAGTCCCGAACCGGGGCCAACCAACGAACGACTTGTTGGCGCTCTTCTTCTTGCTTGCTTTTCCATTGTTTAGATCGGGCAACAACAAACGACTCATAAGGTTTTTGTGACACATTTCTTTCTTGCGTTTTTGATTTGCCGTGCGCGTTGGTTGCTGCTCCGGTCCTTCTCCCCCCCCCTCCTTCTCTCTCTCCCACGGATCCATCCACTCCCAACCGTGGTCACAGCCAAGCCGAAGGGGATCCAGAAAACAAAGGTAAAGGGGAAAGGGGGCGGCTACCTGCTCACCAACAAGTCGTCGTCGTCTTCCTCCTCCTCCTCCTCGCCCAGAGGCTCCGCGAGAGGCGGGGGGCTCGTGCGGTCGCAGCTAGGGAGGGCGGGAGGGGGAGGCTCGAACGGCGGGGCCCCTGCCGCGAGCGGGTCATCGTCGTCAGCAGCGGGGGGGAAAGGAAGAGTGGACGCGAGAGGGCCCAACAGCAGCAGCAGCAGCAGCAACAGCAGCGGCGGCAGCAGCGGTGCACCAGCACCAGCACCACCTGCGCCAGCAGCCAACCGACCTTCCTCAGCCAACGGAGTAGGAGCGCGAGGCAAGGGGCTTGCTGGTAGGGGCAAGGGGCTATCCGGACGTGGAAAGGAGCTATCCGGACGTGGAAAGGGGCTCTCCGGCTCTGCCAGAGCAGCCGCAGGCGGGGCCGCTAGCGGGGCTAGGGGGGGGGGGGCGGCTGGCCGCNGCGGGGCTAGGGGGGGGGGCGCGGCTGGCCGCGGGGGGGGAGGCTCGAGGACGACGGCGCCCAGGGGTAGCAGCAGCAGCAGCGAGGCTTCGGCGATGAAGCGGACGGCGGTGGCGCACCTGACCAACCTTAAACGGGCGAGGCTGACCGGCGACGTTCGTGGCATCGGTGGGTGTGCTGCTTCGCCAAGACGGACGGTTGGTGCTGGTGCTGGTGCTGGTGCTGCTTTTAGCGAGGTAAGCGATGGGTGCGGTTTGTATTGTGTCGTAGAGGGGAAGGCTGTTGTGTTCTTTGTTTAGGTTTTGCTTTTGTGTCGAGGAGGAGCAAGTTGTGTGCGTCGTTTTGCTTGTTTTTTTTTCGTGTCCTGGAGGGGTGAAATGTGTGCGGCGGTGGCTGGCGTTGGAAGAGTGCGGGGTGTGTTCCGGCTGTTCGGTGTTCCGGCCGACACGCTTTCTGTTTTTTTCTGCGCTGCCGACAAGAGGCCTGTGCGTGTGTCGCGCTTCCCTGCAAGCGTGCATCTCGCGGTTGTTCTTCTCCCTTTCATTACACACCTCGTTCGGTTGGTTGCCCTCGCGTGTTGCTGCCCTGCCTAAAGAGGGACAAAATGCTGCTCGATTCGAAGTTCGTTTTCCTAACGACCCCACACTCTACCGAACGCACCCTTGTAAGTTGCTCGTTTGAAGCTCGTTCTATGAACAACCAGCACTCTCAAACACGACGTTACCAGGCAGTCAGGTGGGGCTGGCTACAGCTGTACATACACCACGGTGTTATTTCCTCTTTCGTGTACGCGTGTAGCATTGTTTTAAAGTTGTGGCTCACGTCCGTCTCCCTGCCGTTATCTCTTCTTTTTTTGTCAGCGAGGGGGCACGGCAAGAGCAGGCGGGAGGGGGGCTGTCTCTTATACACATCTAGATGTGTANGAGGGAGGGGCAGGGGGCGGGGGAGAGGAGGGGCTGCTGTGGTTGAGGCGGACAGGCGGAAGAGCGGACGGGCCAGAAAGCGGAAGGTGATTGTTTGTGGAGTGGTCATGATGTAGTGGTGGCAGGCCTGTACTCTTTGGGCGATGTTTCCCTCCAATTCTATTTTCCGTATGTTTAACAAAAATCGGTACCAAAAATATCAGGCAATCGCCTACGGAGTACAGGCCAAAGTGGTGGACGGCAGAGGGGGCTACAAGACAGGGCTATTATACTGCTGTAGGGTTGACGGGAGAGAGGCAGGCTGAACGGTCATCGCGATGAACGCTCGCGCAGCGAACTCTCGAGAGTTGCATTCCAGCCATCAACGATTACCTCAACAAAAGAAATGGAAGTAACTTGCTGTTGTTGTCTTCACATTATTAACCGTTCCGGTCTCCGCTCAGTACCTTCTTAGGTCCGTGCTGGTCCAACTGACGCGGACGCCTTCCGTGGTCACAAGCCAACTGCTCCACCAAAGGGGGAGCAACTGCATTTTTTTTTCGGCGCAAGCGCTTTCTAGCATGCGCGAACGATCTTTTTTCTAAGCCCTAACCCTGTAACTATGATCCTGTTGCCGACACCCGCTGTAGGTTGTGAGAGCTGTTGGCAAGCAACCATTTTCTTTGTCGATGCGAGCGCTGGCGAGCATCATGCGTGGACCCTTTTTTTTTTCTAAAAGCCCTAACCCCGTAACCATGATCCTGTTTCCTTTTTTTTTTTTTCTTGCCTCGATCCCCAAGGTGATGGGCGGTGGCGAGGAGGATGACGACGGCATGGATGGTGACTACGAAGGTGAGAGACGATAGGTGATCGAACCGTTGTTGTTGGTAGCGGCAGTGTTTTTTGTTCTTTTTTCGTCATTTTCGATCAGCGTTGGCATTTACTGCCGGCATGAGCTTCAACCCGTGCTCACGCTGAAGGGTTCCTGTCCCTCCACCCACCCCTCCTGCGGTGCTTGCCTCGACGTAGTCGGCGGGGGGGGGTGTACTCATAGTCGTGCATGCCGTAGTCGTTAGACCATTGACCTCGCATCCCTACAAAGCCGGGACGGAGCACGCCAGGTTCTCACCGGACCAGGCTCTCTACGTCGGCGGGGGTGGTAAAAGACCCTTTGCCACAGAGCCAGAGAGCAAGGCTTTCGTTGTTAGGCGTGTTCCGAAACCGCGCGATGAGGGGGAGGAAAGGGGGCCGCTTGCCAGGCGGACAGCGGTGGCTCCCGCCCTCGCACCCCTCGCCTCTTTTTTTTTTCGCGCGCGAGGGGGGCCCGTGGGATCCCCTGCTCGGTCGACCGTCCCCGTCTCCGGTTGCTGTGGTGCGCAGACGATGGAGGGCAGGGGGGAGGGGGGGGGGGGGGGGGCC